GAGGGCTTCCCTGGTGGTTCAGTAGTGAAGAATTCGAGGCAGGAGACAAGGGTTTGATTCCTGATTTGGGAAGATCCTACGTGCCATGGAGCAACTAAGCCCATGTGCCACAACTACTGAGCCTGTGCTCTAAAGCCCAGGAGCCACAACTACTGAGCCCACACGCTCTAGAACCCTGCGACGAGAGAAGCCACCGCCGGGCAAAGTCTGTGCATTGCAGCTAGAGAGCAGCCCCTCTCTCTGCAACTAGAGGAAAGCACGAGTAGCAGTGAAGACCCAGCACAGCTAAAACTACAGAAATCAAAAATAGAACTACTACATCATTGAGCAGTCCCACCTCTGGGTAAATATCCAAAAGAAGTGAAAGCAGGATCTCAGAGCTATCTGTACTCCCAGGTTCATAGCAGCCATTATTTAATCGCTAGCCTAGAGGTAGAAGCAGCTCAAGCCAGCATCAACAGAGATAAACAGAGAGATAAAATGTGGTCTCTGCATACAGTGGAGTATTATTCAGCCTTAAAAAGGATGGAAATCCTGATGCCATGCAGGTGAACTTTGGGGACATTATGGTAAGTAAAATAAGCCAGTCATCAAGAGACAAAATGCCACCTGATTCCCTGGTGGCTCAGATGCCTACAATGTGGGAAACCCGGGTTCGATCCCTGGGTTGGAAAGATCCCCTGGAGAAGGAAATGACAACCCACTCTAGTACTGTTGCCTGGAAAATCCCATGGACGGAAGAGCCTGGTAGTCTACAATTCATGGGGTCACAAAGAGTTGGACACGACTGGGCAACTAAACTTTCCACTTAGAGAAAATCACTAAGGTAGTTATAGCCTGGTGGTGGCCAGGGGTGGAGGGAGGGGAGTTCTTTAATGGGTTCATGGTTTCAGATATGCGAGATGAAATCTTCCTGGAGATCTGTTTCATGGCAATGTGAACATACTTGATGTTCCTGAACTGTCCAGTGAGAAATGGTTAGGATGGTAAATTTTGTGGTTTGTTTTTTAAACCACAATAAATAAAAAAAGCGGGGGGGGGCGGGCAGTAGTGGTGCTGCAAAGGTCATTTAGTCCGATATTCCCAACTCAAAACTGAGGCCGAGAGGGGAGTGACTTGCCCAGGTCCTCAGCCCTGGTGAGATCAAACAGGAGAGGCTGGGAAGATGGGAAGATGTGACACATAGAATGAGGCCAGGGTGGGGCTGGGCTCAGGCTCAATGACTGTGGCTGGTGCTGGCTTTTAAGATGTGGCTGTCTGTGCCAGCGGCACTTAGCAAGACCTGAGTGGGTTATCTAGAAAGTTCATTTGAGAGGAACAGCTCCTGTGTGGCTGATGTCAGCTAGCTTTCCCCTCCTTACTCCCAAAGCCCTGAGAGCCCCCGCCCCCAGAAGCCTGCAGGTGCAGCTGTTAGGAAGTAAATGTGAGAAAGAAACCTAGATTAAAATCCCCATCTGCCACCACCTGACCCTGATTCTGCACAACTGAAAAGCACAGAAGGGCCTGAGGCAGCATCAGGAACTCTGCAGGTGGTGAGAGGAAAGCTTCTAGGAGGCTGGCTGATGCCGTGGGCTCTGGGACGGGGTTCATTTATTCCTAATCTGGGGCCACTTTTTCCTGTGCGACCTCTTGGTGCCTCAGTCAATTCATCTGCAAAATGGGGAGAAATAGTACCTCAAAGGGGTGCCCTGAGTATTAAGTGAATTTGTTCATGTTGTCGACTAAAAGGAGAAGGAAATGGCGACCCACTCCAGTGTTCTTGCCTGGGGAAGCCCGTAGACAGGGGAGCCTGGTGGGCTGCTGTCTGTGGGGTCGCACAGAGTCGGACACGACTGAAGCGACTTAGTAGCAGCAGCAGCAGCCGTCGACTAAAAAATAAAGTCACAACTTGAAAGTAGAGTTATTTGGTGGGAATGCTTAGGACTCCAATCCAGGGAGACGGCATCTCAGTAGCTCTGAGAAAACTGCCTCCAAGGAGGCAGGAGTGGAAGTCGGGTTATATTCAAATTTGCAACAAAGGGTGCAAGCAGTCTGAACAGTAAAGATCAGGTATCAAGTTAAGGTGGAGAAGGAAATGGCAACCCACTCCAATATTCTTGCCTGGAGAATCCCAGGGAAGGTGGAGCCTGGTGGGCTGCCGTCTATGGGGTCGCACAGAATCGGACACGACTGAAGCGACTTAGCAGCAGCAGCAGCAGCAGCAAGTTAAGAAATTTAGTATTTTATGTATGAAAGTGAAAGTGAAGTCACTCAGTCATGTCCGACTCTCTGTGACCCCATGGACTGTAGCCTACCAGGCTCTTCCGTCCGTGGAATTTTCCAGGCAAGAATACTGGAGTGGGTTGCCGTTTCCTTCTCTAGGAGATCTTCCCAACCCAGGGATTGAACCCGGGTCTCCCGCGTTGTAGGCTTTACCATCTGAGCCACCAGGGAAGGGGATCACTGAATTCATTCCTTTCATACACACCTCAGCTCTCTGGGGCCAATCCTGTTTGCTTGTTCACCTTGCTTTTTGTATTCCCCCAGTTCTTCAGCAGTCACCATGGGGGGTGGCAGCAATCGCTGGGTCGCATCCCCATTGACATTTGGAGGTCAGAAATCGCTGATGGCTGTGACATTTCTTGTTTGTTAATACAGCAAGAGGTATTTTCATTTCACAATGTAAAGGGCTCGGAACCCACCCCAGGACATAATAGTGCTCATAAATACTGAGCTACTGTATGGGTCACATGCGCCTCCAGGTATCTTAGCATACTGTTTGCTGACCTTGCCTCATCTGGGCCTGACAACAGGAAATGCTATGCAGGTGCAGGCAGAGCGAGTCTGGGGTGGGGACCCTCTGCCAGGGCTCTGAAGTGTTGCCTGGTGTCTCCTTGGTGGTGGGTACGGCTGGGCCAGGAGCACAGAAACTCGGGGCACGGTTGGGGTGGCTCCAGGGCCCAGACCTCCATCCTCCTCAGTCCTCCAGCTGACCCAGGATTGACCCAAGACACAGACAGACTGTAGGCAAGAGAGGACATAGGTGACTCCAGGTAACGTGTCCTTCCCTGACACCCTCCATCGCCCTCCTCGCTTCACTTCCTCCATCTGCCATGTTGGATGTTCCCCATGCATTATTTTTATTACCAGCTTCCCCGTGAGAGTCTCAGCTCCAACAAGGTACCCCCAGCACCAGGAACGGTGTCTGCACATGAGTTGCCCAGTGTTTGTTGAGTGAATAAATGACCGTCTGCGACAGGAGGCCTAGCTGGTGAACATCCCAGGGGAGATGGGGAGACAGAAGGTATTCAAATCACAAGTGGAGTGGAGAGGAGGGTCTGTGGCGAAAGGAGAATCTGGGAGGCAGGAGAGCAAGAGGGAAGAGGCTACTGGCTGGAACGAGTAATAAAGTGGGGGGCCTTGACCTACCAGCTGAGTGGCCCCGAGGTCTCAGAGAAGTCCCCTCGAGGGATCACCAGCTTCAGTAAATATTAACCCAGAAGCTGCCATGCCCCCCCAAAGAAGGACACCCACATACTAGTAGGGAGGTGACCAGGCACCCCAAGACACCTCTCAAAGTCCACCATGGGGCCTCAGAGGCCCGGGCCACCCCCACTTTCTTCTACCTCTGACCACTACTGTCCCTTGACCAGGGTGGGGAAAACCAGAGTGACCATAGCCCCTGCTGTGCTGCTGGCAGACATCACCAACCAATCCTGCCTCCGTCCTGCGTGCGCCGGGCAGCCCTCAATGCCTTGACTCTGAGCTCCAGGCTTCCACGTGACACCGGGCAGAGGGACCTCAAGGGGATCTGCCCAGGATTCCTGGGGAGGCCGGGACAGATTCTCCTGTTCTCCTAACAGCAGACCCCTCCTCACAAGGAGGGGGAGCTGGGGCTCACCACCCCCTCCCCAATAACCCACGGGCCCACGGAACACTGGGGAGGACTTCGGGGGGTGCTGCTTCCAGCAATCCCTTCAGGATTTGGGTTTAATCCCAAGCACGAGGGTGGGCAAGGAAAGGATTTTGTTTCATTCCTTCAGATGCCCAAGGCTTGGCCCAAGCCCCAGGGCGCAGGAGTGAAGGCGCGTGGCTGCCCAGCCTCTACCAACAAAGCCATCCTTTATTAAATAGACTGCGTTACATTCCATTCAGAGGAGGAAATTGGACGTGGTGAGGGATGTGTCCAGGTTGGCTCCCCGGCACCGTGCGGGGTGAGGAGGGGCCCGGGTCCTGCCCGCCCCACCCCAGGCCTGCGTGCAGGGCTGGGCAATCTCAGCCCCCGTTGTCTGAATGGCCAGGCACAGCTGAAAAGAGGCCTGGGCGTCCTGTGGCCCATCTGTGTTTGACTCTGGGAGGACAGTGCCCCCATCCTTCCAGCAGGGCTGCAGGCAGGGCTCCCTGCAGCGTAGGGCTCAGCCGGCAGGGAGGGAGGGGGACGAGGGCCCCAATCCATCTCTGGCAGATACAGGATGGAGTGGAAGACAGCCAGGGAGGCCCTGCCCGCCCCTCCTAACTCCGCTGTGCCATGGGTACCTGGGATGGCAGGCCCACTAGGTCTTCGGTGGGGAGGCCATTTGTGGATGGGGTGAAGCATGGCCACTAGGGGGTGCTGGTGCCCAGGGCTTGCTAACTGAAAGGATGAGAACGATACCCTGGAGATGGGACCAGCGAGGCACCAGCAGGCAACAGCTCCCGGGATAGCAAGGAGGTGCTGGCTGCCCCAGGGGCCCCCTGCCAAGGGATGAGCCCCTCTGCAATGGCTCCCAGCTCCCTGGTCTTTGGCGCTTTCTTGAAAGTCTCCTGGTGGCTGCAGTACTATGGAGGAGAGGAGGTCACCTCCTGAGGTCCTGTCCAGGGTTGGACATTTGGGGCCGGCTCAGTGCTGCCTCCGAGGCCTGGCCATTTGTCCCTCCGTTCAGCTTCTAGCTCAGGGCTGGCTCCAGGACCCCGTCTGTCAGTCTGTCGTGGGGCGGGTGTTGTTTCCAGCTCAGAGCCACCCTCCAGGCCTGGGCCATGCCCTAAGCCTCGTGGGGGAAGAAGCCTAGCTTGGCCAGTGACATCTCCTTCCGCAGCCTTGTGATCTCCCAGAACATGGGCTCCGCTGTAGGTAAAAAGAGAAGGTGGACAGCTCAGTGACCCCCAGGGTCACCTCAGGCAGATGGCCTGGCCCTTCTTCCTGGTTTTGGGCACAGCAGCTGGCAGGCACCCCTAGGACTCCCCAGTCCCTCAGGACAGATGACCTCTGTGAGTGGCTGGACCTCTTAGAGGCTCCACTCTGAGGTCCTGCAAACTGTTGAGTGCTGAACGCCTGGGAGGCTTGAAGGTGACTACGGTCACTTTCATAGCCTGACACGGACATGCACACACACACACACGCTGCCACACACTTAAGACAGGTTGCAAATGCTCTCCAGCCACCGTGAGCAGGGCCCATCCCCTGGCCTGGCAGAATGGGGGCAGGGGGACAGCGGGTGGGCAGAGGACTTTTCGGGCAAGGGTGGGGGAGGGCCTACAGAGGAAGGTGGGCAAGCCCGTGTTCAGCCACCATTTGGGAGGCCACGCGGCAGGGAGCTGATTCACAGGGGAGGCCCCACCCTGTAGGGCCTCAGAAGCCAGGCCAGTAACAGGGATGCTGTTCGTTCAGGCCCTGGGGGCTGGGAGAGGTTTCTGCACAGAACAAAGCAGCAGGATCCAGGTATGCAGGGGCCTCCGGCTGGTTTTCCTGATGAGGCAACGCCCGGGAGGCTCCTTCCGCTCTTCCTCTCTCCTCAGGGCGTAGCAAGAGACGCTTCGAGGAGCCCTTTGCTAATTCACAAGCTTTCCTCTCGCAGAGTCCTCCCTCCGAGGAGGGCAGCAAAGTGCTGGGGTGGGCCCGGGCCACCGCTGACCCGCCCCGCCCCGCCCCGCGCCGCCGCTCCCGGGCGCCACCCCGGTCGGCCACTAGGGGGCGCTCACCGTCCTGCCGCACCAGGCCTTGCTGGATGTAGCGGATGTAGGTGAAGAAGTTGCACACGGCCGTGATCTGTGGGCAGAACGGACAAGGTGTGAACCCCTTGGTCCCCGCCACAAAGGCCAGGAAAGATCGGAGATCACACTGGGAAGTCCCACGTCCTGGCAGAGTCAGATTACCGCTGGGCTCTAACGTTACAGTTAACAGGAGCAATACTATTACTCCTAATAAAAAAACGATGCCGGCAACTATAGTGTAATCAAGCGGGCGGATCCGAAGAGGCCGACGTGCCTACCATTCCCATTCCACACGTGGGGGGAGTGGAGGCTGCGAGAACGACCGGACAACAACTGCGGAGGCCACGGATCTAAGAAGCGGCTGAGCTGGAAGATGAAACCCCGGCAGGCTGCCAAGAATCCACGCTCCACTGAGGGGCCTGCTAGGTCTGAATGCTGGAGGCCCCGGGGCATCCAGTCCTTAGGAGGTGCCATGTGTGGTGCCAGGAAAGATGAGGGATCAGAAGCTGCCCACCTGGCTGCCCTGGATCCCGGCCTGAGGCCCCCAGCTTTGCCTAAGGCTGCTCCATGCCAGGCCCTCTGTGGGGCACCGGGGACCCTGGGCTGGCTCAGATCTGATGCCGGTCACAAAGACTCAAACCCTGGAGAGTGTGCTGTTGGTGCCTCACCCAGGCCCCCTCCCCCAGGCTGGGGTTCCACCTCCCCACAGCTGAGTGTGCTGGCTGCTAATACCCCCCTGCACCCCAGTACCCTCACAAACCTGGGCCAATGACTGGCATGTGGAGTAGAAAAGGCCACACCCTTGCCTCAGAGTAGAACCCACTCTGGGCTGCAGAGCGATGAAGGCAGACTCCAGCGGCGGCCTCGCCTTTGCCTGTCCCCGCTTCTGCCTCCCTCCCTCGCCTCCCAAGAATTGCACACTCTCTCCATCTTGGGCTCTGCCTCTAGGGAACCCAGCCTAAGACAGGGTGGAAGACGGCTGGCAGCTGTGCTCACGACTGCCCCTACTGAATGGCGAGTGCTTTGGGGGAGGGACATCAAGTGGGGGGCGGGGCACCAGCTGGGAAGTGGAGAAAGCTGTGGGAGGGGTGATGCTCCTCCTGGGCCCTCAAACACAAGAGCCAGGGCGACAGAGTGCTGCGCTGGGCCGGTGGCCCTGGCAAAGCAGGGGGGCGGGAGAGAGGCCAGGTCAGGGGATTAACCCAGGGTGGCCGAGGCGCCGCCTGGGAGGGCCGCACAGGGCGGGGTGGGGCGGGCCAGACAAGCTCAAATCCCAGGCCGTGCTGTGGCCTAGTGGCCAGTGGGCCCCACAGTGGACCCCCGAGTAGGGAGGGGAGGAGAGCAGTGGTCCTCTCTCCCCAGGGCCGCGGTTTGGGGACAGAACTCTTCTTCCTATGGATTCCACACTCCTTGGTCTCCTCAGGGCGGGGTGGTGGTGGTGGTAATTTAGCTGCTAAGTCGTGTTTGACTCTTGCGATTCCGTGGACAGAGGAGCCTGACAGGCTACAGTCCATGAGATTCTCCAGGCAGGAATACTGGAGTGGGTTGCCATTTCCTTCTCCAGGGGATCTTCCCAACCCAGGAATCAAACCCCGGTCTCCTGCATTGTAGGCGGATTCTTTACCAACTGAGCCACAAGGGAAGCCCCTCAAGGCGGGGACCACATCCTAAAACTTCACCCCCTCCTCTCCCCTCCTAGCTCCAGCCAACACAGTAGACACACGGGCCTGGAAGAACCGATGTTCTAGATGTAATTTTGTAGGCCTGGGAGTGCCTGATGGATCTCCTGGTTGGGATCAGAAAGAACAAAGAGGGGACTTCCCTGATGGTCCACTGGTTAAGACTCAGTGCTTGCACTGCAGGGGGCATGGGTTCCACTCCTGGTTGGGGAACTAAAATCCTGCAAGCCACAGGGTGTGGCCAAAAAAGCACAAAGGGGGCCCATGGCCACTGAACAAGACTCTGGACACAGACGCAGAGGGTGAAGGCTGCAGCAAAAAGACTGGATCCAGGATGGGGAGACCCGAGGTCTAGGCTGAGTGACCCAGGGTGCACCCCTTTTCCTTTCTAAGGTTTAAGCTTCCTCTCTGTACTGGGAGCACAGCTCGCTGCTAGGAGGATTCACCAGGACACCCATGCTGGGATGCCCGGCAGAGGCATCAGGACCAGATGAGCTGCCTGGCTGGTCAGTCTGCTGCCCAGTGATGGCAAACAGCCTACTTTAGTCCCATGAGGCACCTCTAGAAGGTCAAGGGGAGAAGACTGCTCCTCCAAGAGGGCCTTCCTCACTGTGTGACCTTTACACCAAGCTTCAGAGTTTTCCACACTTTTGTTCTTCCCAGTCTTCCTCACTGTCTGGGGTCCACCCATCCCACCCTCATCCCAGCTCAGTGACCTCATCCTGGGTCACCCGGCATGTGAGGGCAGAAGCTGGGATTCCTAGAGGCCCCTCGGTGCCCATGGCTGACTGTCAGACAAGCCTCAGAACCTTCTTTCTCCAAAGCCTGGGGCTAGAGCCAGGGGTCAGGAGCATGGAACTTTCCCCTGAACTCTAGTGTCCCTGGAGTGATTAATCACACTATTCACACTCCCTTGATTAGGTTACATTGAATGACAGAGGTGATGGGTATCACTCCCATGATTACTTTTCAACAAGCAAGAAAATGACTACCTCAGTCCTTCAACCACAAGGAACTGACTTTTGCCAACAGCATGTGAACTCAGAAGAGGGCCTGGATCTCTAGAAAGGATGCAGCTGCTGACACAGTGACTGCAACCCATGAGACCCTGAGCAGAAGACCCTAAGCTGTGCCTAGACTCCTGACCCAGGGAGTCTGTGAGATAATTAATAGATACTCCACTAAGTTTATAGTAACTTGTTACATAGCAACAGCAAACAAATACACCTGGCTTGGCTGTGTGGCCCAAGTCAGTCTCTGCACCTCTCTGAGCCTGTGCCCTGATCTGCAGATTGTAGGTTGTGCAGCCTGGGGTTCAGAGTCCCAGCCCAGGGAGCCCCTGAGGAACCAGATTACACTCCCACTAGATGACTCACCCTGGCCCGGGAGGACGGTGAGATGTAGTAGTGGCTCTCAGAGTCCCCGAGCCGGATTCGGTGACGACAGGCGCAGGCCAGCCCACTCAGGGCACATGTACTGTGAAAAAGCAGAGGGGGCCATGGGGATGGCTGGGGCTTGCCCACCCAGTTCATGCAGGGAAGCAGCAGCCGCCAGAGAAGGCACAGGGAGAGGGCGGGCAGACAGATGTCAGAGTGGGGACTGGTGCCCTCTCTCCTAGCCCCAGCTTCCCAAGGAGCCTAGAGCCCAGCCAAGGAGGGGGGCAACCCTAGAAGTCCCCGGATGAGACTTTTAAGCCAAGCTGGACCCCATCTCTAACCCCCTCACCTCACCCCTGTTGGACAGGAGGGCTTGGTCAACCTCAGGCCAGGTATACCAAAGCTCCATCCTCTGCAGCCCCTAAAAATGTGCACCCCCCTTCTTTCCTGGAACCCCAAGACCCAGTCACCCCTTCCTCCAACTAAGCAGGAGTCTTCTCTCTCCTCCACTTAGGTCACCAAGTCCTAGGTCCTGCCAGTAGGACCTTTGGCCTGGATGCCTTCACTCATTCCAACAGCTCTCTGCCTCATCTCTACCCTTCTTCTCCATGTTACAGCCAGGGGCTACTCCCCAAACCCATATCTAAACACTCTACCATTTCCTACTGCCCAGGAAACAGTTATGGAGAATCCCAACTAAAGTGAGGTGAAATAGGCTCCTTGGCTGCTTATCAGAACCTTTGCTGCCTCCAGGATCTGAACAGGGAATCCTCTTTTCAGGCAATGTTAATCGATGATCTGTGAAATGCTGGCTTTAGTGGGTTAAAGCCCAAACCTCATTTGAGGCCCTTCACACACTGGTCCCATATGCACTCTGTTGCCTGAGTCCCAACTCTGCCTATCCACCCAATGGTGTTTTCCATTACCATTCCGGCTTCTCATACCTTCACTCAAATTGTTGCCTCTGTTTCAAAGGCCCTTCCCTGCTTGCATGCATACATGCTTAGCGCTCAGTCATGTCTGACTCTTTGCAAACCCATGGATTGTAGCCTGCTAGGCTCAGTCCACGGAATTCTCCAGGCAAGAGTACTGGAGTGGGTAACCATTTCCTTTTCCTGGGTATCTTCCTGACCCAGAGATTGAACCCACATCTCCTGCACTGCAGGGAGATTCTTTAACCCCCAGGAAACTTATTCCCTGCTTGGGAAACTTATTCATCCTTCAAAACCCAGCTCAAATATTCCCCTCTGTGACAAGGCTCCCACTGTGGGCCTCCCTCACAGGCTCCAGTGCCTGCCCTCGCTCCATGCTGGCAGCTTAGCTCTGACGCTGGCCCTGCCCAATGCCAGCTAAGAAGCAAGGAGGACCAGATCCTAGGGCCCTTAGGTCATTGTCAGGAGGTGGAGTCAACAAATGACATCACTTACGTGTCAATCGGGGCCCGGAACCCACTGCAGGAGAGAGGGAGCGGAGAGGGAAGCACGTCAGGCCAGCCAGGAGGGGGAGACCCCAGCTCCAGAACTAGAGGCGACATCTCGGCCACAGATGCCTCCTTGCCCTGCGTGGGGGCAGCCACTGTCCCTGTCTGGTCGGGTGCCCCTGCCCACCCTCGGGTCCCACTGCCAGACCCAGCATAGCAGCTCTGAGGTTCAGCCCTCCCCGGCCACCCCCCTGATGCAGCCCAAAGCTACGCCGGGCCTTTCCCAGGGGGCAGGAAGGGTGCAGGGCGCTAAGCTTACTTGGTGCGACCACACTCGACGGCGGCCACCTTCACTGCGGGCAGGGTTTGCGAAGCCACGGGCTCGATGGTGAGCGTGTTGTCCTCCACGGCGGCCCGGACGAGGGCCGAGAGCTGTGGCAGAGCAGGGAGGCGAAAGGAGGCGATGAGGGGCTGGCGTTCGGTCATGGGGCTGGGCCCTCCAGCAGGCCACCCTCTGCCTGCCTCACCTCCTGCATGGTGAAGTCCAGGCAGGGGCCCACATCCTCCCGGTACACCCTTTCCAGGAACGGGGAGGTCTTGTCCAGGGTGGGCGATTCCCTCCAGGCCTGGAACTCCGCAAACAGGGTTGTGTCCACCTGTGGGGGCGGGGGAGCCGGGTCGGGGGTCAGGGTGCTGGGGGCGGTGGGGAAGGGCAGCATAGCAGAGACAGGCAGAGCCCAAGGAGGTGGGGAGCCAGGGAGGATGAAGCTCAGGGCCCGCTGGGCCTGAGGCTGTGCAGAGGAGCCAAGTCCTCGAAAAGGACTCTTCTTTTCCCTTTGCACTGCAGAATTGAGATACGAACTCCCAAGTTTCACTTCCGGGTGTGTTTATAGTTTCTTGGCACTAGAGAATTAGACGTGGGCCCAGGGTCTTGGGCCTCCTTTGTGGCTCAGCTGGTAAAGAATCCGCCCGCAATGCAGGAGACCTAGGTTCGATCCCTAGGGTGGGAAGATCCCCCTGGAGAAGGGAAAGCCTACCCACTCCAGTGATACTGGCCTGGAGAATTCCGTGGACTGTATAGCCCATGGGGTCGCAAAGACTCAGACACGACTGAGCGACTTTCACTCACTCCGGGGTCTCACCCCAAAGACCCTGGCTGCCTCCTTGAGGAGGGACAGTTGAAGAGTGACTCTGCAGGTACCCGCCAGTACATGTGGGGACCTGCTGGGAGCCACGGCACACACAGGCATGTGCACACGGAAGGGAACGTGCACAACTTGCCGGCTGCCCTGGGGGCACATGCAGAATGAGAGGCTGGGGGGCAGGGGGCGGCCCCCCTCCAGAGCCATTACCTGTCGGGAAAAGGAGAGGGAGGTAGCGGAGGTGAGGCCCACGGGCAGCTCCCCAGGCGGGAGCTGCCAGGCCGGCTCGTAGGTGAGGTGAGCCGCCTTGCTGGGGACCACGCAGAGGAGCAGGGAGAGAAGGGGAGGCAGCCCCGGCTGGGCCGGCAAGACAGACAGACAGACAGACGGATGCACAGAGAAAGACAGAGGAAGGAGACGTTAGAGGCCAGTCGGCAGCTGAGAGCTCAGAAGGGGATGGAGAGGCTTGGCCTGGGCGTCCTCCCTGGAGGCCTGGGGCAGGATGGAGCTGGGGCCATCTGGGCCTGAGACCCCAGGAACCCGAATCCCACTACAGTCCTTGTGGGCATGCAGGGCATTCACTGGGTGCGGCCCTGAGCTGAGCTCCCATGGCCCCAGGAATCCGCATTTAAGCGAGGAGACTGAGGTGCTGACAGGGGTCCCGCTTGCCCAAGACCCACAACCAAGGACATCACAGCTGCTGTCCCGCCTGAACAGGGACCCCCTCATGCCCTCCTGAGGGTCAGACACTTCATACCACAAGGAACTCACTCGGCCCTCATGACCAGAGGACACAGAGGCCCAGGGAGGGCAGGACAGGCTCCTGGTCACACACTTGGGGGCAGGCGGGTCCCCACTGGGCACTGCTGTCTGCCTGACAGGGGGCGCTGGCTGCCTTTACCGTGACCACTGCCCGCCCAATGCCCCTCACCTCTTTGCCCTCCTTGTCCGGGGTGAGGATGTGCCCGGCAACGGGGCACACGGCGGGGCAGAGGGCGCTGCTGGTGCTCTTATGGCGCAAGTGGCCCTTGCGGGGTCCGGCCTTGGTGGGGCTGAGCAATTGCGGGTGGAGCTCGCGGTTGGGAGAGGCTGGTGTAGACGTGATGACCAGTGTCTTCAAAGCTGTCACCTCTGCCTGCAGCATGTCAATCTGGCCAGGATGAGACGGTCGTTAATGTGAGCCCAGGGCTGAGGCCACCCTGGCTGCCGTACCCCAGCTCAGGACTGCAACCAACACCTCACCCCACCCCTGACCCTTGGAACAGCCTCGGAGGTAGGGGCTGAGATACCCATTTTACAGATAGGGAAAGTAAAGTGAAAGTGTTAGTTGGTCAGTTGTAGCTGATTCTTCGCGTCCCCGTGGATTGTAGCCTGCCAGGCTCCCCTGTCCATGAAATTCTCCATGGCAAGAATACTGGAGTGGGTTGCCATTTCCTTCTCCAGGGCATCTTCCTGACCCAGGGACTGAACCCAGGTCTCCTGCATTGCAGGCAGATTCTTTACCGTCGGAGCCACCACAGATGGGGAAACTGAGGTTCAAAAAAGAGATACAGCCTGGCGAAGGTCATCCTAGAAACCAGGACTCTTGAGGTGTACGGGTCTGGGAGCAGGCTGGGCCTCCCAGTGAGGGGTCCCCAGGAGTCAGAAACAAGCCTGGCCCTCACACTCCTGCAGATGGGCAAACGGGCTCCAAGGGATAAAGCTACTTGTCTAGACTCACACAGCCAGATTGATGCTGCTGTGTAAAAGCGGTATGGGAGGAGGGAAAAGAAGTTACAGGGCCACAGGATCTTCCCAGCCCCTGAAAAGCCCCCAGCACGGTCTCTGCTGTGGGAGCTCAGCTAGAGGCCCAGATCGCTGGGCTCCCATACCAGCCGGCACGTTTCAGCGGGGTTGTCTCAGACCTCTGCCCCTCCCTGCTGGGCCTTGGTTGGCCCATCCCTGCGGGCCCCCCAGGCCACGCCGGGGTCCGATGAGGCCTCAAAGGCCAGCGCTTGCAGTGCTGGGAGGTGGGCAGGAGGTCCGGCCGAGGAGGGCCTCACCTTGCCCCGGGCCTCCTTCAGCTGCTTTTCCGACGCCGCCTGCTTCGTGTTGGCCTCCCGCACCATCCTGTGGGCTTCCTGGGCAAAGGGCGGGCTCCGCGTGAGTCGGGGGGGCGCCGTGGACGCCCAGCAGGCCCGTTCCCCACTGCGCCCCGGGCCGCACCTCGAACAGACTGGCTGTCAACTCCTCCAGCTCCTGCTCCAGCTGTTCCCGCACCTTGGACAGCCGCTCACACTCCTCATCCTTCAGCTTCAGCTCCTGGGGAAACGAGGCGCCGTGCCCGGGGGGGTGATCTCACACGGGCCTAAGGGCCCGAGCTTGCTTCCTCTTTGAACCCCAGCTGTCAGTTCCTTAGACCTTGGGACCGGTTTTCAGGGACGTCAAGGCTTAGAAAAGTCCTTTAAAAGTCACAGGAACTGGTTTTGTTTGCGCTGCCCTCACGCCCAGCACAGGCCTGGCATGTAGGTGGCCTTCAAAGGAGGGTGACATCTCTGGGTGCTGGGTGAGAGCCCGCGGCTACCGGCCAGCCCCTTGCATCCCCCACCCCCACACCCCGTGTCTCCCCCTGTCCCCCCGCGCCCCCCCTGCCGTGTCTCCCCCCGCCCCCCACCCCGTGTCTCCCCCTGTCCCTCCTGTGTCTCCCCCCGCCCCGCCACCCCGTGTCTCCCGTCCCCCCGTGCCCCCCCAACCGTGTCTCCCCCGCCCCCCCTGTGCCCCCCACCTGCCGTGTCCCCCCCGTGTCTCCCCCCGTCCCCCCGCCCCCCACCGTGTCTCACCCCGCCCCCCCCCACCCACCCACCCGTGTCTCCCCCGCCCCCCACCCCGTGTCTCCCCCTGTCCCCCCGCACCCCCCCACCGTGTCTCCCCCCGCCCCGCCACCCCGTGTCTCCCCTGTCCCCCCGTGCCCCCCCCAACCGTGTCTCCCCCGCCCCCCCCTGTGCCCCCCACCTGCCGTGTCCCCCCCGTGTCTCCCCCCGTCCCCCCGCCCCCCACCGTGTCTCGCCCCGCCCCCCACCCACCCACCCACCCGTGTCTCGCCCCGCCCCCCACCCACCCACCCACCCGTGTCTCGCCCCGCCCTCAGTGCCCACCTTCTGGGCTTTGTGAAGCTCCTCCTTCAGGAACTCCGAGCCCTTCTCTCGGATCTCCATGGAAGAGCTGCGCAGGCGCGACACGTCCAGCTGGGTGGTTGTAGGGCCCTCCTCGCCTTGGGCTTCCTCCCCTGCAGGGGTCTCCGGCAGGCCTCCCAGGGACTCCCTGTGGCTTTTGCAGGGGCCCACGCTCTTCCAGGGGACTGGGACAGCTTCAAGGGGTGGCGGGTGGCCCTCGTCCGGGTGAGGCTGGCTGCAAGGCAAAGAGCAGATACAGGGGTGGGTCCTGAGGCCTGGAGAACTGAGCCCAGGGACCAGCCCTGGGCAATGCACCTGCAACCCGGGGCCTCAGTCTCCCCATCTGTAAAATGGGCCGTCATTGGGGTTGTCACAGGGGCAGAATGACCAAGCATAGCGTCTCCTGGGGACAAGGACAGGACTCATTCACCTTCATCAACCACCCTCTCCAGCCTAGGACCACGTAAGTGCTCAGCACACAGCAGGAACTTGTTTGCCCAGCAGACACTATAAATGCATCCATGTTGACAGCCTGAGTTTCTCCTACAAAACTGGGACAATCCCAATGGCCCTACCTCAAGGGCACTGAATGGATCAGTTCAGTTCAGTCGCTCAGTCGTGTCTGACTCTTTGCGACCCCATGGACGGCAGCATGCCTGGCTTCCCTGTCCATCACCAACTCCCGCAGCTTGCTCAAACTTGTGTCTATCGAGTCGGTGATGCCATCCAACCATCTCATCCTCTGTCGTCCGCTTCTCCTCCTGCCTTCAATCTTTCTCAGCATCAGGGTCTTTTCCAGTGAGTCAGTTCTTTGCATCAGGTGGCCAAAGTATTGGAGTTTCAGCTTCAGCATCAGTTCTTCCAGTGAATATTCAGGACTGATTTCCTTCAGGATGGACTGGTTGGATCTCCTTGAGTCTCCAAGGGACATTCTGAATGGATCCGCCTCAGCACATAAGACCTTTAAGTGGGAACTGCCTTCATTGCTAGCACTCATACAAATTTTATGCAGATTCAGTCCCATTTAGGGTGGACCATAGAGGAAGGACCCAGCCAAGGGCAGGCAAGGCCAAGACAGGAAGATTGTGCAAACGGCCTGGGAACGGCAGCCCCACTTCCTGCCTTCTGGACGGTGTAGAGGGCACTCCCAGCTCTCCGCTTGGTCTGCCTTGTGACCTCAGGCAAACAGCCCCCTCCCTCTGCCCGCCCCCACCCCTGCCCTCAGGACCCCCCCCCCTCCCTGAAGTCGAAGACGCCAGAGGCAGTGGGAGGCGCGGGGCCACCAGCCTCTGCCCCCCTGCAGTCCCCTTCCCTCCCTTCCACGCTGCCCCTTCGCAGCAGACCCTGAGGACGGAGGGAAGGAGAGGCCCCGACAGTGGCGATTTGTGCCAAGACAGCACCTCTGGACTTGCTCACTCAGCATAAGCTGAGCCAGCAGCTTCTGAGCGGCCCTGACGGGGCTGAGGGTGGGGGGGCTGGGCTGCTGATAGCAGTGGGGAAGTGCAGGGGAAGGAGGCCAAGAGGGGCCCACACAGGAGAGAGGAAAGACAAGGCCCAGGGGTCATAAAATTCAGGACTGCGGAGGGGAGGTAAGGCAAGGCTGAGGTCTGTCCCCTGCACCCTGGGACAGTCACTTGGCAGCCCCCGAGCCTCAGTTTCCCCTTAGGAATACCAGGCACCCAGGGACCCTAGCAATGAGCCCGTTCCCATCCCTCCGCATGGCCTCGTCCAGCTGCCCAGCCTGGCCTGCCATATGCTGGAACTGGCCCCGAGGTTCCTGGCTCTGGGTTCTGCCTTCTAGGGACGGGGCTTTGATGAATAAAGTAGGAATGCGCACCCACCACTCCATCAACAGTGTTTATGCCAGATGGGGTCTCTCCTAATACCCTTGTGTGTGTGTGGGGGGGGGGGGGTCTCATTGGCAAGGAGGCCCAGGAAGCTTGAAGGGCTATGGCAGTGCTGTGGAGGCCCCAGGCTGGGAGCTGCACCCAGGGGACTTATCACAGGGCGCTCTGCCCCTGTTATCTCATTTAAAACTCTCAATAGCATTTGTTGTATTGCCCCCATTCTAGAGTTGTGGGATGATGCTCAGAGAGGTGATGGGATCTGCCCAGGGTCACACAGCTAGTGGGGGGCACTGGTGGGACAGGTGGCTGGGTCTTCAGCCCAAGCCCAAAGCTGCCAGCCACAGCCGATAGGAGGCTGGGGAGCGGGTGCCAGAACCATGCATCTGCTTGGAGATCAAGGGCCACTGAGCCCCCAAGCAGTCAGGAGACTCCTCCTTGGCTGTGACAGAAAGAGCTGACCCATTTTTAGCCCAAACTGCCTCCCAGAAGGGAGTCCAGGACTGGGGGAGCTGTGGCTGAGTGCACAGGCTAGTCGGGCACGGCCGGGTCCATGTCAGGTTCCAACCTGGGGTCCACACGAGCCCCTGGGAAAGTCACTGAAATTCTTTCAACCTACTTCCTTGCCTGTGGGATGAGGATAAAACCTGCAGGGGACTCACCAAGAATCTAGTGAGGAAGTCACTGGTCACAGCCCCAGGGAAATAGTGGGGCTGTCTGCACCCACGTTTGTCATGCACCCCACCACTCTCACCATTCCTGCCCAGGCTCTGTGTCCTGCACCTGAAACCCCAGACCCTGAGGATGCACCCACGGGGGGAGCCTGGAGACCTGGAGCCCAGCCCCACTTCCTCAGTTGAGAGGATGGCCATAATCACTCAGGCTTAATGGGGACCCCACCTCGGGGCTGCCCACTACAATAGAACGAGCAAGAACTATAGGCCAAGGGCAGGGGGTGACTTGTAGGGACAGCATGGGACACAGGGCATGATCTCAGGTCTCAAGACACCTAGCATCACCCTGCCACTGCCCATACCCCCCGCCTAGGGGACAAAGAGAAGGAAATGGCAACCCACTCCAGTATTCTTACCTGGGAAATCCCATAGACAGAGGAGCCTGGTGGGTTATAACCCATGGGGTCACAAAGAGTCAGAAACAACTGAGAAAGCACAAGGGAGATGGAGGGGACCACAGGCCGCCAGCCTCTCCCACGAGGCCTGAACTTCATCCACCAGTGTGGACTGGGTCTCTGGCCATGGGCTGGGGGTGTGTCCAGAAGCCCCCCTCCCCCAGCATTTTCCTAACGGGCTCACCTGGCCTGCTGCTGGGGGGGATGGGCCCCTATTTTGAAGCCAGAGGAAAGAGTGTCTCAGGGAGGCCTGAGACGGAGCATCTGTGATACCCACCCCTCTCTCCCCAGTGGAAAAGTCCACGAGCAAATCCTCATGGCGGAAAGTGTGGGGACAGCAGGACCACACCATGGTCACCACTTCCCGGTGTCTGGGCCCGGGGTGCAGGAGTAGGAGGGGAGGGGGGCCCACCTTGCACTGGAGTCTGCAGACCCTCCCCCTCACACTTGGGGCCATGGAGCCAGCTCCTGTAACTCAAAGTTCAGATGAAGGAAGGACCCCAAGCCCCTCGGGTCTACCCAAGCCAGAATCCGCTATCATCTATACACTTCAGCACGGGAAGGCCAAAAACTCAGGTGCGAGTACCTGTGGGGGTGGGGAGCTCACTCCTTGGACAGCACGGGTCACCACTTAAGTCCTTTTGCCCCGCCTCTCTGCCCCCAGTCCAGGTCCATGGCCTTCTCCTCAAACCTTCTCAGCCCCCATATTCCCTGCAGAAACAGAGGTCAGTGTCCAGGACACGCCGCAGGGGCCGCTGGGAAGGGGTCTGCTCCGGAGGGAGGGAGGTAATGAGTCAAGGTCAGGGGTAGGTGGGGGCGGCCAACATCCCCCATCCCCAAGTCAGCTCCGCAGCCTAGAGCCCGGGGAGTTCATACAGGAAAGGCCCCGCTGGGTCACTTCCCCAGGAAGCATACAGGCAGTGGGGGCAGGAGAGGGGGGAGCAGTAACTGCAATCCTCAGTCCCCAGGCCACCCCTAGAGGGGCCAGCAGGGCTTTCATCCCTAACCAGAAAAAAAAATGGCCAAATGAGGAGCAACCCTGGAGGCTATGGTCCCCAGTCACCCAGCAAGCCCCACCGGGCCCAGCCTGCCATGCGGTCCTTTTGCCCTTCCCCTCTCTGCCCACCAGCGCCCAGGTCACCTCTGTGAGTTAAAGACTAACAGGGCACAGTGGGTTCATTTAAACAATTAGGGGAGGTGCCAGCGAGGGAAGCGCTGAAAACCAGGGAAGGGAGAGAGTTGGGACTCTCGCCTTCTGCCTGGGACCACGAAGCCCAGGCAGCATCTCTGCCTCTGCAGGTCTGGTCTGCAGGAATCCTGACCCAGGAACAGCCACAGGGTTAGGAAGCCTGCCCTGAGGACACTAAGGCTGGCAACCAAGTGACTCCCGTCCAGGGGCCGAGGGGGTCCCAGGAAAGGTTTCACGTGTTGCCCAAATCTTCAGCTCCAGACCCAGATCAGATTCCCAAGCTCCCGCTCATGTTCATGCCAGCCCACTACTCCGTGTCTCCACAGGTGAACTTACGATGCTGCCACGGCGAGAGGCTCTCCCTAGTTTGGGTGAACGACGAGGTACCCGAGGTCCAGAGAGGGACAGCGAGCTGGCTGAACACATACAGCAAGGAAGCAGCAACGGGGGATCTGAACCCAGAGCCCAGGCACTACTGCGTCATGTGAACTGTCACCCAGAAGAGGCGAGATGGGAGGAAAGGGGATGAATGGTGGTTTCAGAGAAGTGAGGCGGGATGCAGACAGGGTTTTGAGGAAGTTAGAGCCAGTGCCAGAGTGGTGCTGGGGATGGTGGTAGTGGTGGGGGGTTCCACCCAAGGCTGCTGTTCTAGCCAGGCAGGCTGGCTGCAGGCTAGGAGGGGACATGCAGAGAGGACACACAGAGACAAAAGACTTCTGGGTGGGGGAATCAGTGGGAGCCCAGGGGCAGGAGAGGGGGACCAAAATAGCTACCAGTAATTAATATAATTGAAAACCAAGGACGAGGTGAATGACAAGAGTGGTGCCCAGGACAGGAATGAGGAACTGGGAGGGGGTCTTTCAGGGAAGGAAAGGGGGGTGGCTGAGGCATTTGGGAAGTGGTGGCTGAGGGGAGGCACCAGCCCAGAGGAAGCAGCTGCAGCCCTGAGCCTGGATGAGGGGATGGGTGGCAGAGGAGCTGAGGGCCAGGACGGGAGGGCTGCAGAAGAATCAGAGAACAGGGTCACAGATGGGAACACAGGAATGCTGAGAATTGAGGCAAGCGGGACCCCT